TAAGACAAAAATTTGGCTATATCCAAATGGTCTGTTTGGGGCAGCTTATAAGTGCGGGCGGCGTTTTGCAAACGTCGCGGTACTGTTTGGTTCCTGCGTTCGGAGAAGCGTTTTTTATTTTTTGAAGAGACGGGGGCCGCGGGGTCTACCTCGCGGCCGGCGTCTTAGATTCGCGTTCGACGATTCTTTCCTCTCGTGCCCCTTTCGTCCGTCTCCTCCTCTCTCTTGCCCGATCGCAGTATTGCCCTTGCTCCTCCCTCGCAAATTTTTGGCTTTTCTACGATCTATGTCGTCTATTTCTGCCACCTCCCTCGGCTCTCTCCTCTCCAGTTCTATTTGCCTCACATTTTCATTTTTGTCCGTTAAAGAGTGAATTAAAAATCTGATTTTGTCTTCCTGCAATTCATTTGGTTATAATTTATTAGTAAATTGTTGAAGATCCCATTGTTGTTGTTACTGGAGCTTCTAGAGCAATTGGAAAAGCAGTGGCTTTCGCATTGGGTAAATCTTGGTGTAAGGTAAGTAAATTGTTGAATATTTATGCTGCAGTGGGCCAATACTCTTCAAGTTAATTCTTTTAGTAGTTGGCGGTTCCAGAGAGTTGCGCAGCTCCTCTATTTTCTTTTGTATAAGAGATATGGGAGTTTATAAAATATTATCACAGTTCTTGGCTTGGGCTGAAGAAGAAAGTTTCTAGCTAGAACAAGTTAATATATCTAGTTGCAGAATCTGTAATGAAGATTGTCGCATAGCTGGTTTGATTCAGTTACGTTCTTCTGAGCTTTAATTAGTTGTTCGTTAAAGTTCAATTCAATGGCCATGACAGGCAATGTGGTTATAGATATTGAAGCCCGAAGCATCAACTTCCTGATAAATGTTGTGGGAGTTCTATAGGAAGCAACTTTCTTTAACATGACAAAATAGCCTTTGCATTGTTCATATGGCATTATCTGTGATGCAAGGTGTTGCATGCTTCAAAATTCTTAATATTGCATATTGAATTTGACTCCTACCTGTATCATATTCATGGAAAATTTTATAAGGTGCAGTTGGTTGTATAAGATGCTGAACATGCGGAATTTAGCTTCCTCCAGATTGGTTTGAGTTGTATAAGGTGCAGTTGGTTGCAGTATTTATTTCTTTTAACTTGGACGAGGCTCTCCTAGTATTTATCTGCTTTGCAGGGAACTATTACAAATTCTTCTACATGCCCCATTTGATTGCTTCTAAACAGGAAACATAATTATGCATTCTATTTGGTTGGATGTAAATGAAGTGGTTTATTTCTTTTTTTGTTGATTGCCACTGAGGCGATTTATAGATATGACTGAGAAAATAAATTCATATGCATTATGAGTTGGGCAAGCACTTGGGATGGGTTGTTTTATTATCGGTATTTTGTAGCAGTTTGAACATTTTTCTACCTGATATTATGTTTTCTGTTGCTAGAATTTATTTTTTTAAATAACAATTTTTAGGTGGTATGTATGTGTCGAATGAGTCTGAAATGGGCTAATTGGTTCTAAAATAGCTGAGGGGTAGACATTACAACTTTTGTGTGCCAGTTTTTTCATTTAACTTAAAAAATCTGCAAATAAGCTGTTTACAAAACGCGCAAACCAAACAGTTAAACAACTTATCCAAAACAGGGGCAGATTGGTCATTTATCCAGAATCAGCTGTTATCCAAACGCACAAACCAAACAGTCAGTCAGCTTATCCGGATCAGCTGGTCATCAGCAGATTATCAGAATAAGCTGCTTATCAGCATAAGTTGGATAAGCTGCAGCTGCCCCAAACAGACCCTTAGTCAAATACTTTCCAACTTCTAAAACTACCAAACTTATGAATGAAAAAACCTCACTCACCCAATTAGACAATGAATCTATCTATGAATTGTAAGAGAAATTTAAGGAGTATTGAAGAAATGACCATATAATGCCCTATCTGATTAACTTACTATTTATAATTTTTATAATAGACTGATGTGATCTATGAGATCTATCATTGATGTTTCAATAGGAAGGTGACATGTCTAGACCAATTGAAGCGGATCATTCATTAATATAGGAGATGGTAACCAATAAATGACTTGACTGAATCATGCATAAGCATTGCATTTTTATCAAATGCCATTGTCTGGAGAGTAATGGTATATCATAAATCGCTTTACATATAAATTTACTTACCTTAATTTTAATAACTTACCAATTTGAATGTAATCCAATTTTATAGCTTTAGTTCATTTTAGTGTTAGAGAATTAATTCTAGCAACTTTTTTTTGTAGTCATAAGGTAGTTTGAGGTAGGTAGAGACCGATAAGCTCGAGGAGCTATGTAGTGGAATGCGGTGGTTACGCTACTTCTAAGATATAACACAGAGGAAGACTCTAGAACCATGTATCAATGAGCTCCACCGCATACCCAAGTGGATCTCAGATCATCCAAGTTGGTTTTTTTTGGGTCTTCCATGTACACAATTCTACCATCTCTGACAAATTAGAACTAATAATTGTATAATTTGTAATAGAGATGACCACATGAAGGCATCCCAACATAGTCGTTGTTTCTGCCGTTAGTATTTTTTGTGTTAGAACCACCTTGGTTGACACCAAATAGTGGCTATGCCACATCAGGACATTAGGTGAGGTTTTGGATGCCTATTGCTACATTATTTTTGGAAGAGTAACAATTTTGGATGCCCACCATTAATTAGTTCAATATTGTAGATGTAATTTTTTTATGTCATATTTTGTCCAATTTTTTAGTGTAACATAAAAAGAGGGTGTGTGTGAGCATATAGAAGACCCAAATTTAGACATTATATATTTTTTAGAAATATGTATAAACATTAAGTATAACAATGTCTTTGACGATGTTGTTAAGCTGATTTTGTTTTTTTTTTTGAAAATTAAGAAAAAAAATTGGCTATATTCACTTCCTTCGTGATCAATTACCACTTGTAATGACTTTGTCCAAAAAAAATTTAGCCAAATATTTCCCAACTTCTAAAACTACCAAACTTATGAATGAAAAAACCTCACTCACCCAATTAGACAATGAATCTATCTATGAATTGTAAGAGAAATTTAAGGAGTATTGAAGAAATGACCATATAATGCCCAATCTGATTAACTTATTATTTATAATTTTTATAATAGACTGATGTGAACTATGGGATCTATCATTGATGTTTCAATAGGAGGGTGACATGTCTAGACCAATTGAAGTGAATCATTCATTAATATAGGAGATGGTAACCAATAAATGACTTGACTGAATCATGCATAAGCATTGCATTTTTATCAAATGCCATTGTCTGGAGAGTAATGGTATATCATAAATCGCTTTACATATAAATTTACTTACCTTAATTTTAATAACTTACCAATTTGAATGTAATCCAATTTTATAGCTTTAGTTCATTTTAGTGTTAGAGAATTAATTCTAGCAACTTTTTTTTGTAGTCATAAGGTAGTTTGAGGTAGGTAGAGACCGATAAGCTCGAGGAGCTATGTAGTGGAATGCGGTGGTGTTGACCTCATTTTTGGTTGAGGTCTAGAAAACTTCTTTAGTAGCCTAGGTCTAGCCATAGGACTTTCCTATTGACTAGTCTTAGAAAATGTAGGTAGAGACCGATAAGCTCGAGGAGCTATGTAGTGGAATGCAGTGGTTAGACTACTTCTAAGATATAACACAGAGGAAGACTTTAGAACTATGTATCAATGAGCTCCACCACATACCCAAGTTGATCTCAGATCATCCAAGTTGGTTTCTTTTGGGTCTTCCATGTACACAATTCTACCATCTCTGACAAATTAGAACTAATAATTGTATAATTTGTAATAGAGATGACCACATGAAGGCATCCCAACATAGTCGTTGTTTATGCCGTTAATATTTTTTGTGTTAGAACCACCTTGGTTGACACCAAATAGTGGCTATGCCACATCAGGACATTAGGTGAGGTTTTGGATGCCTATTGCTACATTATTTTTGGAAGAGTAACAATTTTGGATGCCCACCATTAATTAGTTCAATATTGTAGATGTAATTTTTTTATGTCATATTTTGTCCAATTTTTTAGTGTAACATAAAAAGAGGGTGTGTGTGAGCATATAGAGTAGTAAATAGTAACATTATTTACAAGATATACACAACATGCTCTAGATTACTAGACTTTAGTTAGTAGTGTAATATCATTTAGATAATGCTGTAAGCAGTAACACAACATATTTATACATCATATGAGAGTAATATGATATATATTTTTTCATTGACTTTTCCGATGTTTTAGATTTTATCTTTATTATATTTATGTTTTATTTCACATCAGTATTATTATTTATTATGATTCATTTCATTAAAAACTAGTTAGTAGTGTAAAATCATTTAGACAATGCTGTAAGCAGTAACACAACATATTTATACATTATATGAGAGTAATATGATATATATTTTTTCATTGAATTTTCCGATGTTTTAGACTTTATCTTTATTATATTTATGTTTTATATCACATCAGTATTATTATTTATTATGATTCATTTCATTAAAAAATTTGACAAAATTATAAAAAAATCATATTAATATTTATTACTAATAATAAAAATAATATATATAAATTATTTCTTCAAATAAAGCATTATGTTTTTAACTTAAATGGCAAAAATTTTCAATAAATTACTCCTTTTATTTTAAAAAAATCATTTATTTTACCAATTTTTTAAAAATAAATTCATAATTATGCACAATAAATTAATATATAATTATATATATTTTTAAATTTTTGAATATAAAACTCTTATCTACATATAAAACTCCTAAAATCTAATTATATGATTTTAAAAAATAAAATTTTTTATTGTCGGCTCCAATTTGAGAGAACCATTTTTGTCGATTTTTAATATTTTTAAAAATATTAATTAGTTAAAATTAATTTGCTATACGTGGGAAAAGAGCGTCATTTAAGTGTAGCATTAACGTTAGTTGGGGGTGGGCCAACACTTCCTTTGCTTTATTGCTACAGTGCCCTCTCTCATTTCAGTCCCACTCTCACTCTGCCTCTGCTCTGCCGTAAGGTAGCATCATCCCTTTCTTACTGCAGATCTCGGAGCTACATTTCGTCCCCCATTATCTCGTTCTGGCTGGCTGAGGGCTTCTATCAGGTTTTTTGCACCAAAATGTTGGACGGGGAGTTGTGGAAAATCTAATCCTTGGTGGATCTCACTGGTAAGCTTCAGATCTGGGAGCTCTATGTCCCTTTATTATGTTTTTCAATTCTAGCATTTACGGCTGATCTGTTTTGCTTTGCCTGGCATCGATATAGTTGGATTTCCTTGGATACATTGAGATTTTGGTGCCGGATTCAAACTCGCATGTATGGATCTTGATTTAGAGAAGGCCGATTGGGTTGATGATGAAGCTTTGTTAGGTTGAGCAGTGTTTCTTTACTTGAAATGCCGTGAAATTAGATTTTTGAAAAGTTGAAGTTTACCGAGGAATTTGTAGTACTATTTGTGATGATAAAAACTTGATTCCTGTTCTTTAAAAAAAATAAAATAAAGTCTTAGGTATGGTGCTAGCACCCAGTTCTGAAGAACATTGGTTAGCTATGAAGCATTTGGAAAATTTATGCTCAAATTGTATGTGTATGAGAAGTTTTTTACTTCATTTTACTTCTTTTTTTTTTGACATTAAGTACAAAAATGTAATCAGAAGCTAAAAAAAAAGGGCATTTGTGGATACGTAGTACGATACATAATATCATACACTAAAGGAAAGAAAACTAGTTATGATATAATGTTTACTACTTCGATTTTATGCAATGGATATGGATTGTTTCAGGTTCCAGAGTACAAGCAAAATTCATATTTATTAACTAGCTGTTCTGAAATGGGGAAATCTCCGGGGAAATGGATCAAAACTTTGCTTTTTGGGAAGAAAGCAACTAGATCCAACTTATCCAAAGGAAGGGAGGCCTCGGTATGAAGTTCTTTTCTGATGCTTTTTCTCTGAGAATGCATTCCATTTCCTTTTCTTTCTATTGAGCTCTGGTCTCACCATGTTCTTCTCATTTTATAGAGAATTAATTTTGTTTGCTCTTGAAGTTATAACTACTTGCTAGTTACTCATATAAGCTATCTGTTTACTACATTTTCAGATTATTCCACTAACAACAACAACAACAAACCTTTGTCCCACAAACCTTCAGGCTACATTTTCAGATTTTCTAACTTGGTCAATCAAAATTTGCCGGTTCTTAATGAAATGCAGTCTTCAAATCTCATGTTAAGATGGGTTTGTTAAGTGCATACTGTTCACCTACTTTAGAGTTGCTGCTTTAATGTATGGAGTGGCCTCTCAATTTTTGAACTTTTCTCTCCTTGTTTAAGTTCATCTATATCTTGCTTAGCTAGAAGGGTGTACAATTTGGATACAAGTTATTTTTAATTTTAATCTATGCCACTAGCATTTCAAGTTTCAATTTTGAATTTTGGATTTATTCAAGCTAAATAAATGAATGCTATTTTAGGTTTTGATTTTTATAAACATATGCTGAGCTATTGAGTACATGATGTTTTTAGGACATTAGAAATCTAATGCTAAATCTAGTCCTTCTAACGCTTTTTGGCTAGTCAGTTTAGTTTTTTTTTGGAAGAGCTCTCTAACTTCTATGTGCATTGAGTTTCTCATTTTTTTTGTGGGATGATTTCTCTATTTTCTTTGTTAGATGAGCTCTTTGGGCTCTTTGTAGGACAAGTTCCCCGTTCTTTGCAAGACAAGCTGCCCGTGCTCATTGTGGGATGAGTTCTAGTTTATTCAATGCTTCATATAAGTTTTAAAACATACAAATTGTTGAATTTAAATGACGAGTTCTCTTGTCCTAAGTTCAATGACAAAATTTTAGTACTAGTATAATATTTCCTTCTCCTATGAAAAGACAAGAAAATACATTGAACTAGTTCAATTCAAAATTTGGAAGATTATAAAGTTTAAATGAACAATATCATTTTTTATTTGATTTCACAATAGGCTTTCTCAAGATGGTCCGAAAGGTTTGTGTGGCTTGTATTGAGGCTGTTTTGTTTGTTCTTTTCTCTTTGTTTTGCCAAATTTTCTAAATGTTAGTCCTGGTTGGCGAGGAAAAATGTCACGACTCGGCCTAGAGCTTGGAATTAATCAATGCGAGAATATATTGTCGGACGGTAACAATTAAAATTTTTTTATATTCATTTATAACTAACATGTAACAAATGAAAGAGCCACTAAAAAAAGAATTAAAATAGTATAGTTAAATTTTACCTCATTTTTGGTTGGCCGTGTCTTCCATAAATATTTTTTCTTTTATTGTTTATCTTTTAAATAAATGAATTAAAGCAATACAGTTAAGTTTTACCTAATTTCTGCTTGACCACATTTTCTATAAACATTTTCTCTTATATTGTTCATTTTTTAATAAATTAATTAAACCTGAAAAGTTATTTAAAACAACAATAAACTAAACAAAGCTAGTGAATACTCATACTTCTAAACTATAGTAATTCAATAAAAAAGGGAGACAATATGCATGTCAATTAAACAATATAAAAACATGTAAGGGTATTTGATGGGTTGTACTATTTAATATGATCATTCAAATTGATTTTAAACATTCACTGCCTCTTACTATATCGTTTACATCTCAATATCCTTTTTAATCGATGTACGAGCTTCACAGTAACTTTGTCTAAAAATTGAACCACTTATGATTCTTCAACATAAATATCTTTTCCCTCACTAGTGCTATAAATGGGTGCTTCATCATAGTTATGCATGCACATGCAAGCAATCAAAATATTAAATCTCTTTTTTATCGTATCATTCAATAACCTGAACTATGCATGTAAATAACAGTGACATGTATGATATGGTTAAAATGAAATTAAAGAGCATTAAAATCTAAGCCAGTCGTGGAACGAATCAAACATGGAAGGAATCAATGTTACTATAGTTTGAAAAGTATAAGTACTCACATCGCTTAGCTTGCTTGACACAGATTCCTTAACTACCCACCTTCTATACCCAATTGTCTAACATTTTTTTAATTAAATATTAATTATAAATTAAGAAAATTAAACTTTAATTAAAGCATATCTTATCTTTTAAAATGATTCGATCCTTGATCTTGCAATTATCTCTCCCTTACTCAATTATGTCCTAATTTCAGATACATCTATTAAGATTTAAATGATGAAATATTCATATAAGATTCATTGATTAAATTAGTAAAACAACTTACCTTTAATAAAAAATTTGGGTTTTGCTAGACTTTCACTCTCCATTTCACACCTGCAACTCTTCCTCTTTCATCGTGATAGATGCTCGTGTCACAGAATGCCCTCGAATTCAGGACTTCATAGTTTATATCCTATTTCAAATAAATATTATTAACCTATTAATTAAATAAATATATACTCATATACACAATTATTCATATAATAGTATATGTTAACTTATTAATTCATTAAACTTACCTTTTTTATAATATTCAGCCTCTGACGTAGCTCACGCACGCTTGAGTTTCCCCCTTTTCCTTTTGTCTCTGCACGCGAGTATCATGTACAAAGGGTCTCCTTATTTCCTTCCGGTCTGCACGCGAACACCATGAGACCTCTTACGCACTGGTGGAGCCCTTGTCGCACAGGAAACCCTCGACGTCGTCTCCTCCTTCACACACGACAGCTTGACTGTTCTTCCTGCCCTTCTTTTCTTCCTCTACATGCGAGGGACTAGGTTTCAAGTCTTTTTCTTTACTTCACATTTGACTTGGTTGACGATCACACGTGCAGGTAAACCTTCAATCTCCTCCTCCCATGAAGTTGTTTACATTGTAGCAATGTGTGTAGGCTTCAATAGGTTTGCACACAACCTGTCTTCCTCTTCTTCTTCTTTCTTCCGTCTCCTCGCTCTCTCGACTCTTGGGCATTTCTATCGTTACAATGGTGCGCAAGAGTTGCTCATCCTATAATAAGAAGCTGTTGAAATATCGCGATCGAACCGACACAACTCATAAAATTTATTTTATTTTATTACTTTTTATTTCATATTTTAGTTATTAGAATCTCCCCTCATAACAATTTCGTCCTCAAAATTTATAAATATACTCTAAGCCTCAAATCACTTATCTTTAAGTAAAACTTTAATCATCCATAAAATTTAGAAAGTTTAAATCTCTTTCAACAAGATGAAACATGGATATAAATATACAAAGGTTTGATATAATATTACTCAACTAAATTTCCCCCATCAACTGAAACAAGGTAACATTACATTTGAAGCGAGTTAACATAAAAAAAACACTACTCGTCTTTTGATAAAGATATACATTAGAATAACACTCCCATAGCATATGATGAAACATAACACTCATCAATCCTTGGCAACATCAACATCAACAGTAGATTCTTCAGGCTCTCTATTAGTAAGAGAATTAACTTGAGGTTGAACTGACTGTACTGATTGAACTTGAGTAGGAGCTGAAGCGATAGACTCTATCCTTATTTGCGTACCAGCAGTCTCCTGTGAAGGAGCTCCAACTATTTTCTATTCTTCTGACGTTTTTCAAACATATGAAGGGCAATATCTAGCTATATGATCAGGCTGCTGACACCAATAACATGTATGAGAGCCCATCAAATATTCACCTTTATACTTTTTTCCACATTTGACACAATTAACTACGGTACTATGAGAAGTACCACCACTGAATCTTTTTGAACTGAATTTGGGCTTCTTCATATTGAATCAACACTCTTACTCTTGTGTGCCTTTATGACTAAGTTGAAATTTAAACTCTACTCGTCTAGTCCACTCTACTAATACTGAATAGTCATTGATCTCCAAAGACACCAACGGTTGTCTGATCGAATCCTTTAATCCCAAAACGAATCCGTAAGACTTCTCTTTTGCAGTAGCTATTAGTTGTGGAGCATACCTTGACAGTGCGGTGAATTTTGTTTCATACTGCATAACAAACTTCTTTCCTTGTGCCAATTTGATGAATTTGTCTTGCATCTGTCTTCGAGCAGATATGAAACAAACCATTATCTGAAAAGTTCAACAAAATCCTTCCAATTTATCATCATGCTGGTTATGTCCCCTAACTTGTCTTGACGCTGTCCACACCACCGCCTTTTAGCTTCTCAATTTAGCACAAATGTAGCTAAAGATACTCTTATTTTCTTTAGGCCACACCATGCTATCTAATATTTTCTCTATCCTCATCAACCAGATTTCCGCTTCAATCGGATCTTCAGTTCCCTTGAACAAATGTGGACACAAACCTTGAAATATTTTTAGGTACTTATCCACAATAATAGTCTCACTCCCACTAGACTGTAATATAGACTTCTGAATCAGCTGAGTCAAGACAACGTTCATCTAAGTCTGAATATTCGTATTAACATTAACGGCCGTGGTACTTCTTCATTTTCTACCACATTCATCTCTTTTTAAATCTCGGGTGCATCCATTTGCCTAAATTACAATAAGTATTTAATTAGTATTAATTTACATTTTCACTTTTATTATCATTAAAATGTTCTCGTAATTATTCTATTGCCTCTTTCATCACATTGTATTAATTAATCCTAAATCTTCTTCTAATATCACTTTTTTCATGGTCTGACCCGGTGTTTAGAATTAACTAAAGTAGGAACAGATTATCGGATAGTGAAAATTAATAATTTTTTATATTCATTTAATATAACTAACATCTAACAAATGAAAGAGCCACTAAAAAAATGAATTGAAATAATACAATTCACTCTCCACTTCACGCCCACAACTCTTCTTTCCTTGTAATGGAAGTTTGCATCACTAAACACTCTACAATTCGGGTCTTCATACTTTAAATCCTCTTTCAAGTAACTTTTATTAACACATTAATTAAATAAATATATAACACAATTATTCATATAATAGTATATATTAACTTTTTAAAT